CATTTAAGATATTGGTGGGTACGCGGGGACAGCTGGACGAGTCTTGCACTACGGTCAGTTGCCAACTTGCAATCCACTGGAACCGACCAGGGATTTAAGAAGTGCCTTTGCAAGAAAAACTGTGCTACTTCAAGATGTCTGTGTTTTAAAAATAAAGTATTATGTACTTCCAAATGCCATTCGAGCTTACCCTGCAAAAATAAATAGCTATATGGACTGACAAAGTATTATCATATAAAGATTTACTTTTATACTTTGACATTTATAATTATTTAATTATCAGACTGATTACTTGCCAAATGAAAATTTGATTTTATAAGAATAAATATAAGTTGATTTTGTGATACGTTAAAAGTTAATAGATAGTTGATTTTAGAAGTTTTAATTATTAAGATAATCTGAATATATTATTATTATTTTACGGTATGACTGTTACCCGATTGTCTCAATAAGTGTTATAATAAAAAAATATTATTAACAACGTGTTTTATTACAGAAAGCATTTACTTTATACATTTCCTAATACGATATTGGAATTATATACAATTCCGAGGAAATTTATACATTTCCTAGGATATCTATGCATTAAATAGTTTTTCAAACAATATTTTATACATTTCCTAAATAGTATCGGAATTGTACACATTTCCTAGGATTTGTATACAATTCCTTGATTTCATACATTTCCGGTAACATATATACAAGAATAAAGGTATAAGATTAAATCGTTGATTGTATAATAATTTAAAATAATAAGCATATTTACAGCTGTTTTTTTACAGCGTTTTAATTGCCTAAAAACGTATTAAGCGAAATAACGAATTGCTTATTTAAGCGATAAGAATACGTCGTTTAATAACGGTTTTAATGACAAACGTAAAATGGAATTTCGATTAGATGTTTGATACAAATATGGTAGTGTTGTTCTTGTTTTAAGGTAATGGTGACTATGTGCCATATGTCTTGTCTAAATATCAATAAATTCGTTTGTTATCGTTGTGCGCATTTTTAGAGTTCCTAGGCAACTTATCCGTTTTTCTTTACGTAAAATTTTTATTTAGATCAATGCGAATAATTAAAAAAAAACATATCTCCTTATCCGTTCTCAAGTGATGTGCCTTTCCACAATTTTTATTATTATCGTTTAAACAATTTTATTTAAATATGTGTCATGTGTAATTTGTTTAGTGTTTGTGTTTTATATGAAGAAAACGGAAATAGATAACTCTGGATATAAGAGACCGCTTCCGAAGAAGGCAGCAATCAGTTGGTAGTGTGAGCAATTCCCAGTGCAAAAACAAAGAAAAAAAAACAAATCTACATTTTTTTTTTTGTTACAACGCAGTGGTTACATGATTGAATCAGCTGTCGCGTAAGGTCAACGATCTGTCTCGAGCACAGGGGGCGGCCGCAAGCTGTCAAGATATAACTGAGTGAGTGAGGTTGTCGCGCCCAAAGTTTTGTACACTTTTCATTGCAGACTCGCGAAACATGAAAGTAATGGAGCGATAAGTTTTTTTTTTGACCTCGTAAATTGTTACGATACATTCATAACTACTATTTTGATTCAGAAGCGTTCATCTTAAACCTTGCATATCGACTTCAGGAAAAGACTCATTAATATATTTTCATAATCAGCTTACTTCGATAATAGGCATGGCGGTTAAATGTACATTTATTTTGAAAAGAACCAGTCTTGTGTGCCTTGCCGATTCTTCTTAGTCGTATTACCAGTATTACGAGTCGACGGTAAATCTATGAGACCGTTTAATGGAGTCTGTAAAAGTCTTTAATAGAAAAAATGCATTTCTGTTTCGTTTTTATAAAACACTAGATGCGCCCGCCGCTTTGTTCGTAACAAAATTCAATTTTATATTAAAACATAAAAGTCATAAGACGATTCAGAAAGCTAACTACTGATAATTTTAGAAGAACATAAATAAATAAATAAAAATCAGTGCCACTAGCGCCGCCTGTCCGGCACTAACGTAACTATGTTTGTCGGAGTGTTCACGTAGCCATTTATATGTGTGCAAAGTTTCATATCTATCGGGCTAATGGTTCTCGAATTTTATGTGAACGTACACACATGCATTCTCTTTTATATAAATAGATGTGTGGCGTGTCCGGGCATAAATAAGTTCGACGAGTTCGCCCATTTTCTGATGAACCCCTTTTCCATTTGGTTTTTGAATCCCTTTTGAATTCCTAGCCGCTTTTGTGACGTCCACGTGATGAGATAGGGCTGTATCATTCTAGATACAGTCATATTGCGAATTGGAATTTATTCTGATTGAAGTTTTTTTTGATTGCTTAGATGTTTGAACGAGCTCATAGCCCACCTGGTGTTAAGTGGTTACTGGAGCCCATAGACGTCTACGACTTAAATGCGCCACCCACCTTGAGATATCAGTTCTAAGGTCTCAGTATAGTTACAATGGTTACCCCGCCCTTCAAACCGAAACGCATTACTGCTTCACGGCAGAAATAGGTAGGGTGGTGGTACCTACCCGCGCGGACCCACAAGTGGTCCTACCACTAGTAATTACGCAAATTATGATTTTGCGGGTTTGATTTTTATTACACTATCTTATTCCTTCACCGTGGAAGTCAATCGTGAACATTTGTCGACTACGTATTTCATTAGAAAAATTGGTACCCCGCCTGCGGGATTCGCTGCATTGCATCGCTCAACACGAATGCGCTGAACGTCTTATCCTTTAGGCCACGACGACAACAAATATATCATCCACGTGATGAGATAGGGCTGCACCATTTGTTCTAATCGAAGTTTGAAAATTGTTTTAGTGGTCGGAAAAGCTTGGTCATCGCATGCGTTGATGGGCAGCGGCGCGAGCGGGGGCGGCGGGCGGGCCACGCGCGCGCTCCGCCTGCTGTTGCTGCTCGTGCTGGCGCTAGCCGCGGTCGAATACCTCTTCGGCTCCATACTGGACGCCTCGCCGCTCAAAACCTATCTATACACGCCGACATACAACGCCACGCAACCCACGCTCAGGTAATTTTTTTATTTATAGCTTAGTTGGGTGGACGAGCTCACAACCCACCTGGTGTTAAGTGGTTAGTGGAGCCCATGGACATCTACAACGTAAATGACGCCACCCACCTTGAGATATAAGTTATAAGGTCTCAGTATAGTTACAACGGCTGCCCCGCCCTTCGAACCGAAACGCAATACTGCTTCACGGCAGAAGTAGGCGGGGTAGTGGTACCTAACCGCGCGGACTTACCAGAGGTCCTACCATTAGTTTCTGAATACTGCAACGCTACGACACATTTATACTGTGATCAAAACCAGTTTTACCGCTTAATCTTTTTTTCGTCAACGAATAATGTATTCGAAGTCACGTCATTACGGATCCTCCCGATCCATTAACGGTGCTTTTAGGTACCACAAGCACCGGTCACGATCTTCTCAGTGGGTCGCGTTTCCGATCCGGTGGTAAATTCTGCGAAGCACTGCTCTTGCTAGGGTCAGTGTTAGCATCAGTTCGGTTTGAGCCCCGTGAGCTCACCGACTAGTTAAGGTTATGCTGAATTTTTTTTTAAATTCCTAAGCTGATAGCCTTGAGAAGCTTCGGAATCGGAATGTTGGAAATGGTATAATGAATATAATAAATCGTAAAACCAGCTTTAATTATGTCTTCGAGTCGCGAAAATCAAATAAAATACTACGCTTATTCTTGGTTAAAATTTCGATAGCGGTCGTCTGTGACCATAAAACACTGTTCAACTTTCACGTAAAACTAGTTCAAACGCCTCGCTCAAAAACTCTATTAAATATCAATCATTTATGTCCATAGGAAAGAACAGCTTCGATCAGCTCCTTACAGTCTCAGGACGATAATGCAATTAACATAAAAAAAAATATCAGGAGTACAATTAGACTACAATACACTCTAGATATGTTAGTAAGAATCTTCAAAATAAGAACGTTTTTAACGTTCTCGATAGCGTAAAAGTTAACTCAAATTTGTATGGAGCCTTTTGCCTTCGCTTGCCGCTAGGGGCTGCATACAAATTTTACTTTTACGTTATCGAGAACGTTAAGAAACTCTCACTAAGCACACTGAGGCGATTATGTGTGAGCTTCGTATTGTAAACGATACCCAATACTGTAACGAACAAAGTATCTTATATGTGATCCAACAAATTTCGATACATAGAATTTGCATCATAATACAATCATACAGATCTTAGCAGCAATTATTTATAAACTATGGGTAAATCAGAGAATTTTGTCTTGACAACCGTAAGTGCAATAACAAAAAGCAATGGAACACCCAAATACAAATCTTAAAAATAACTATAAGTCTTATATGAATGTAATAAATAATTTGATTTCCAGAAATAACGAAAAGGCACTATCGCAGAAGCCGAATAAATCACCAACAGCCATCCCTCAACCGGTGTTCGACGCGAAAAATCAAACGCAAAACAACACTTCGTTCATAAACGCGATCATTACAAAAAACGAAACCGAGCTTAAAATAAACACAACCCAATATAACATGACGGTAACACAGAAAAGTCCGTCCAGCACGTCCCTGTTGATCGCCAAGATCGTAGAGGGCCTGAAGAATCTCGTTACAACTGAAGGAGCGGTCAAGAAGCAAGACTCAGCGTTGCCATTGTGCGACGTCAGTCCCCCAGACTTGGGTGAGCACTTAAATCTCTCGACAAAGAATGTTGACTTTATTCCTATTTTGAAAAAAAAAAAACCGCTTGTAAAAGACACATTCAGTGTTTTTTGTTTTGTTTATTTGGCAATAAGCTATAATGTGAACAGTCAAAACGACATAGACATAGATTTGAGAACCTAAAGCTTTTTGAAGGTTTGTAGGAGTTTTGAAAATAGTTAATTTGAACTCATTACGTATTAAGGCACTTATTTTTAATCTTTGCCGTTACGTTGTCGACTAAACGCGACGAAACGCGTCATAGCACTCAATGTAAACACCCATAGACACAGCCCACTAAGTTTCTCGCCGGATCTTCTCAGTGGGTCGTGTTTCCGATCCGGTGGTAGATTCTGCGAAGAACTGCTCTTGCTAGGGCCAGTGTTAGCAACACTCCGGTTTGAGCCCCGTGAGCTCACCTATTTGTTAGTGCGAAGCTAAAATAGCCTCTCAAGGCTAACAGCATAGATAGGGAAAAAAGAAATTGTTAGCAAAGCATTATGTTGCAAAATATGGAGATGTTAATATTTCTTGAATAGACCAACACGTGTCGGTACTGTCCAAAGTACCCTCAATCACGAGTTTATTTCCGAAATACGGAATATCCGGTATTCCAACGTGAATTGGTTTTCTACGTCATGTCTTGTGCCGTGAAGCGGAAATGCGTTTCGGTTTGAAGGATGGGGACAGCGGCTGTATCATAAAACTGAAACCTTGGAACTCATATTTCGAGGTAGTTGGCGGTATTAACATTGTTGATGTCTAGGGACTCTGGTAACTGCTTAAAACCGGGTGATCCGCGATCCCGTCCACTCATCTAAGCTATTAAAAAAATCTATTGCTTAAGACGCTTAATAGTCTATGCTGCGACTGTAGAGTCCTAAGTTGGATAAAAACTAATACAAAAAAAAAAATTGTTTTAGTTACTACAGACATTGTAGGTCGCTTAGATAGGTGTAATCAACCTTTTCCGCAAATTGCCTAGTATTGGTTCGAATGATGAAGTAATCCTTATTAGGATATTAAAATAATTCGATAAATAAGAATTCGAACTCATATCTCAAACTCGTTTTCATATAATACTCCTAGTGCTCAATACCGATAAGAAGTTAGACAATACGAAAACTGACGGATGATGCAGAGGCATATCCTGTGTGGGTAGATCGCGTATTTAATTAATAGCGAGACAGTTTAACTAAGACCCCTTAGCCTACTTACAAAAAAATACATATAAAACAATTTCAGGACCAATACAAGTAAACAAAACAGATTTGGAGCTGGATTGGGTGGAGAAGCGTTACCCGGAAGTACAGTGGGGTGGGCACTACGTACCGCCCAACTGTACCGCCAATCATAAAGTAGCTATCATAGTGCCATACAGGTAAATATTATTATGTCAATGTTTTTTTATGTTTTATCCTCTAGGTTAGCTTAACTTTCCAAATCCGGTGGGTTGTCCGGTCCAAAACCCAGGAACAGTTCGGTGGCGAAGGTATTTGTCGCATACGACTCGTCATTTGTACTGGGTTTTAAATACAAGTCACTGGCAACTTTAACTCGTTAGCAGTGTATAATCTGTGGTAAACCCCAAAAACCCGCCAAAATTAAGTCCGTTACAGGCCCTGAATTAAATTCTGGAAACCTTAATTGTAAAATTTGCATAAAATATCGCTTCTTCATATCAACCACGGAATGTTGCTCCGTGTTGCTTAATTAAATGACGGCATGTATGTACATACGCAACGATAAAGTCGGCCCCCAAAATTACTTTATGTGCGTATGAAATTTGCTACAATATGTTATTTTCGGTACTTTTCATCCGCATTTAATCATTCGTATAGTAATATTAGGATAGAACATTATGGAGAACCCTTGGGGAGGCCTATGCTGTACAGCAAGACAATCAAAAAACCGGTGTCGATTAAATAGACAATAAGTGTATATTTACATATTTAAATCTATAACACCTACCTATATCGCGCTAGTGACCGAGTTGTAAAAATAATAATAATGTAACTTAAACTACATTGTTAATAAAGGCTATACAAAAAAAAACTCTTCGTCTTGACGCTCTGCGGTTTTTATATTGTAGTAGCAGGGCATAAACAACCGCGTTTCTCATCCAAGCGTCCGATCCCATATAATGATTAACTCGTATTATGTAGCAAAGCAGAAATATATAATGTTAATATGGGATTGGTAAGAACGGGATATCTGAAAAGAGTATAGAATCGAGCGTTAAGATGTGAGTGACAGAAAACGGTAAGAAAGGGAAGAGAGAATGACTGACAGAATGACAGAGAAAAGAAACATGGCGAAGACAATTTAATGAGCAAGGCGTAAAAAAGTGTCAGTTCCTTTTTAATTATTATAATAAAAAAGTGCTACATTGGAAGTTTTTTTTTTCGCCACGATCCCAATTCTACAATAATAATAGTAATAATAACAAGGAAAAAATCACGCACGATCATCCGTCCTAACCTAGGATTCCCTGTGTTATGGATACCAAAGACTGATAAACATACCTATATATTATTAATATATATATATTTAAATAAAAAACCTACATATTTTTAATATATATATTTATATAAAAAAACCTATAAATCTTCAGTGTTTTGTTTACATGATATTCGTTTTCCTTAGAGATCGCCAACAGCACTTGGCCGTATTCCTGAACCACATGCACCCGTTCTTAATGAAGCAGCAAATCGAATATGGAATATTCATAATCGAACAAGAAGGTATATTTATTTGAAGAAAATAAAAACTTCTTAGCTATTTAATATATATGTATTAGGAAATTATCTCACAATAATACAGCAGCGAGGACAGTTCATAACTTTCAATGTAATGGGAACCATTTTGGGCATCAAAAAACATCAGAAAGTTTTTTGTTTTTTTGTGAAAGCAGACCCGAAATTATTTTTAAAGATGCATATAAGGAATATCAGACGCACGTTAGGTTTTCCTTGGAGGCACTATTAGCTAATCCCACCCCTCCTGGCTGAGCCTTTGCTCGCCGACCTGTCCCGGTGAAACTGGGAAGGCCTCCGGGCCACCAGTAATCCTTCAATCATAAGAAAAAACACGTGAATATAGGATCGATCTAATTTGAAAAAAAAAGTAATTTGAATTAATTATTTAATGATTCACGAAATATAAGTATAGATTAAATAAATGTATAGAGAAATGTTCTACATTTTTATTTATTACGTAAAATTTTATAATGAGCCGTGTTGTTCCGTAAAACATGTCATATTCAATTCAGTGTGCTTAGTGCGAGTTTTTTAACGCTCTCGATAGCGTAAAAGTTAGCCCAATTTTGTATGCAGTTGGAACAGCGCGCCTAGCGGCAAACGTAGGCAAACGATCCCATTCCATACAAATATGAGCTAACTTTTACGCTATCGAGAACGTTAAAAAACTCGCACTAAGCACACTGGCCCTTGTCGCGTAGGTAACAAGGACTTCAATCGCGCCAAACTGATGAACGTCGGCTTCATCGAGAGCCAGAGACTGGAGGCGGGCGGCTGGATGTGCTTCATATTCCACGACATCGACCTGTTGCCGCTCGACACGCGAAACATGTACACGTGCCCCAAACAGCCGAGGCACATGTCCGCTTCCATAGACAAACTTAATTTCAAGTACGTATATCTACTCACCCTCACACAATATAAGGCTATACATATACAACGTGTTACAAAATACACTGTAAAAAAAATATTTAATTATCAAAGCCAAAAATTTTATCAACCCTAGTAAGCTGTCAGGGAACCAGATCATTTAACAGAAAGGCCTACGTAAGTTTGACGTTTATTATGAAAAAGTATGTAAGTGTTCGTTTGGGTTGTTTCTTTAGGTTAGGTCTTTTAAATTTTTTAACGTTCCACGAATTAGGTAGAAATGTAGGTACTTTCTGCGTAGTTTACTCTAATTTTATTGAAATAGGGTTTGCATATCAGTGAAAATAATAACATTTTTTTATTTTTTTGTGGTATATGATACAGCGTTACTACGGTTCTTAAATATTGTGAATCGATTCGTTATAAGGTCCCATTTAACCTCCTTTCGGCTTTACGGGTAGTTTTGTAACACCCTGTATATATGAAGGCGAAACTGGCGCCATGTTCTTTTTAAAAAATATGACGTCAGCAACCTGACTCCATTGTCTTCATTAACTTTCGTAGTGATACTAATCAAGACTAACTTTTCTAATTAATTCTGTTTATTAAATTTCAAGTGTACAGTAATAACAACGGAGAGCTCCTTCTCGTTCGGCTGCTCGAGTCGGAATGTATTGTGCGATTTTTTTTTCTTACATAAATTTTTGTTTATTTTTTTTTGTTTACCTATTATTTATTGTGCATATTACATATGAAAAACTACCATTTATCTAAACTTCTCGAGCGCCATCTGTCGTACGTAAATGGTATTATAGCTTCCCTGAAATGTAAAAAAGAGTTTACCGGGCTTCAATATAATTATTTTCACTTTTCTTGCCGGGATAAAGACTTTGGTGTATGTATTATCTTCAAGCCAAGCTCAACTGCTACTGGTCGATTTGTAGGTTCGTAAAATCTCGAACCAGAGAACAAACTGTCGTATTTATGATAGCAGCCGGCGTTTTCCGGGCTATGTCATAAAACTTATGTGTCAATACAGGATATGAACTATCTTTGTGGGAAACTTTATCGAAATACGTTCGGCCACTTATGCGTGACTGATTTAATAAACATTCAAATAATTAAAAAAAAAACACATATTAATATAAATAATAAATACAAAAGTGAGTTTGTTTGTTTCTCAACGAGTCATCATGAGATGTTGCGTACTGTGGCGGTTAGGTCGTCTTGTGACCCCGCACGGGTAGGTACCCCAACTTTGCTTATTTCGGCCGGGAAGCAGTAATATAGAATTGAGACTCGGGTCTCAGGTACTTCGTTGATATCTATGAGCTCCAGTAAGCACTTAACAGCAGATGGGCTGTGAACTCGGTCATATTAGCAATAAAAACTATACATTGTTAGAAATATTATAATCGAACCATATAATTCATATTTCTACATTAGCGCAATCGAATCCGCGTGCGAAAGACAGTACTATAACTTTAATTCGCACTAGTGATCGCCCCTAGTCGAAATTCGACTATAATTAATTTAAATTATAAGTTTTAACATTATTACAGGTCTATTGTCAAAGACTATCATAGAGCTCTATAATAACAAAAGTCGCCAAGGCTATACTATAGATCAGCCTTTCCCAAACTGGGCGATAATGCCCCCTTGTGAGTGCAGCAGGCCTAAAGGGGGGCGGTAAGAGACCCAGAAAAAATGGAGGCAGTGTCTAGAGGCTTCGGAGGCGAGTTGTAATTTCATCTAGGAGGACTCTTAGACACCGACTGAGCTCTTGCTATAGTGGTTTGTAGGTGAAAAAATGGGGGCATTAAAAAATAATTTATTCTCAAAGTGGGCAGTAGACAAAATAAGTTTGGGAACCCTTGCTATAGATAAATAATATTGAAGACAAACTATATTAGTCTATTCTCAATTTGACCACAGACTAACAATAAACAAAAAAGTATATATGCGTGTGTGTGTGAAATACACGGTAGCTGTGTAATATTTTTATATAGATCTATAGATTGTTTCCATTACGCCCTATTCGACTTCTAGATAGATTTTTATTTTTATTTTTTTTATTGCTTAGTGGTGTGGACGAGCTTACAGCCCACCTGGTATTAAGTGGTTACTGGAGCCCATAGATATCTACGACCTAAATGCGCCACCCACCTTGAGATATCAGTTCTAAGGTCTCAATATAGTTACAGATAACCTTATGTACAGATAACCTTATCTACAGATGACCTTATCTATAGATGACCTTATGTACAGATGACCTTATGTACAGATGACCTTATGTACGGATGACCTAACAGCTCGTGTAATTTGTATCATTAAATTCCAGATTACCATATGAAGATATATTCGGCGGCGTGTCGGCTCTAACGTTGGAGCAGTTCATCAATGTCAACGGATTCTCCAACAAGTACTGGGGCTGGGGAGGAGAGGACGACGACATGTTCTATAGGTGAATATCTTCTTCGTATGCTCCAAACTGAAAAACTGAAGTCTGAAGTGTTCAAATTTTCGCGCTAATTTTACTAGTTACTAGTTCACATTCTGTATCTACGTATATGGACATTGTATACGATTATATGAGTCGTCTATTATCAAAGGTGGCAATCTGTGCATTTGGATAAAAAAAAAATATTGATATTTCAATACAGATTGATTTGAATATAATCGTCTCCTTCAAAGAATACGGTTCAAAACCTGCATTAAATAAAGGTTAATACTTAACCTGTTATTTATCTAAGATGTCGTTCAGAAGAGTTTTGTGACTGCCAATGGAATACAAAGTCAATAATTCGTTTTTCTGATTTACCAATAATTATCCAAAAGTCACATTGCCGGCTTTGATAATAGTCGACTCATATATAATAACAAAATGCTTTTCTTTTTCAGGTTGAAAAAAATGAATTATTACATTTCGAGGTACAAAATGTCGATCGCGAGATACGCGATGTTAGATCACAAAAAATCCGTACCGAATCCAAAGAGGTAACGCATCCCCTAATATTCTTTTTCAAATACACACCATTTAAATATTATCTGATAACTATAATAATTAGTGTTAAAACTTCTAATATTAATTCAAAAATTTTCGATATCGAAGGGCTAATATATAACAATTTATAAATAAACTAAATTAAATAACTTATATAAAATTTATTAAAAAAATTTATAAATAAGAAATCTATTTTTCAACTTTAAAGTTCATCAGTCTGCACAATATATTTTTTAACAGCCGACTTACAAATGATGATGATTTACTGTGTCAAATGATTTTTTGTCGGTACTTGAACCATTGTACCATGGTTCACTTGTGGACTAAGTAATCATAATAATAATGGTTGGTTAAAAGTAGGTACGCATCAGTTGAATGGAATATTTTAAATGTAATTCAACTGATAATTATTTTTAATAAATGTGTCTTTTTTATTTGATTGGTTTTGTTATTTTAAGTATGTTTCATTTTTTTTTAATGCTTACATGGGTGGACTAGCTCACAGCCCACCTGGTGTTAAGTGGTTACTGGAGCTCATAGACATCCACAACGTAAATGTGTCACCCACTTTGAGATATAAGTTCTAAGGTCTCAAGTATCGTTACAACGCCTGCCCCACCCTTCAAACCGAAACGCATTACTGCTTCACGGCTGAAACAGGCAGGGTGGTGGTACCTACCCGCGCGGACTCACAAGAGTTCCTACTACCAGTAAAAAAAGTATCAGTTGAATGGAATATTTTAAATGTATTCTACAGATCATTATTTTTAATAAATGTATATTTTTTTATTTGATTGGTTTTGTTAATTTTAAGTATGTTTCAATGATACTATGTACACATATTGACTTGTTGTTGTTGTCTGAAACAAAATTATTCATTCGTTCATTCATTCATTCATTCATTCAAATTTAATTAAATTTCCAGGTACCAACTCCTGTCCCAAACGAGCAAGACGTACCAGCAGGACGGGCTCTCGACCCTCGAGTACGAGCTGGTGCAAGTGGTGCAGTACCACCTCTACACGCACGTGGTCGCGAACATCGATGAGCGCAGCTGATGGACATACCTCGCCAAGCTGCTGTTTGGCGACGACAGGTAACATCAGCGTTGCGAACAACGTAAAACCGGTGCTGCCATAGACAAGAACTCAACAGTGAATCGGAAGTAACTTTAGTGTTGCCCCGTCAAAAAAAAAACAGTGTTACCAGTGCATTTTCTGTTTTGCATATAGATAATGTCGTTTGATTTTAATTTCATCGTGCCACGTTGATCTCGTAACTCTGTTTATATTATATACTATATTAATATCGTTCGTCCTAGATTCTTGCTGGTAAGGTCGATCGAAAAAACGCGACTGATTGTAGACTTAGATATTTTTGTATTCCGTATAAAATGGTTTTCTCATCAGCTCTTACTCTCTTGGGCATATAATGTGCGACTACATTCTATTAAAAGCAATGACATCTCATTTCAAATGCCAAGTAATAATCGAGTTAGGAGTCTGTGAACTTGGCCTCCGTTGACATTAAAACAAATGTCAAATGCCCTTTTCTTTGGATCGTACAATAAAAAACATGCTTTAAGTCGACGTTAGCTAGATTTAAATCCGTGCGCAGTTCATTTAAGATGCTATAGTGTATTTATTACTACTAATAAACAAATACTATGAAAAAAAAAATGAAACGATAATAATCTTTTTTTTTATATCTTTACATTTAATTTAATTAGACTTTATAAGGTGAACTTTTAAAATTAAGTACAACGCTTTGAATGCTTTATTTGAATCACAAAAGATATATATATATTTTTATAATTACTTTTTTTTTCATTTCTATAACTATTTCGTATGTTTTTTTATTTTATTTTGTTTCTTTCATGTAACTAGTCGTTAATACACAAATTATTAAAATAAGCTTAGCGTATAAACTTTTATACCAATACATAAATAAATAAATAAACTCAATTTTATTAATGTAATTTATGTAAGAACAAATAATAATACTTAATTGGAATATTAATAGCGTGTACAGCTTGACAATATAGATACATAGTTGTTAATGTAAGATAAGTTTATCAAAAACGCTAAGAGCGTTTAACTGTGTATGAAAATAATAATAATTAAATATGAAAATGTTACATAATATATTTGTACCTTGGACGAGGCTCGATAAAACAAATCAGGAGAAATCTGGCCGTTCAAAAGAAAAAATAGTTTTTGTTTTTTTTTTCATTTTAATTTATTGACCAAATTAATGAATCTCTTTCATTATTAATCTCTTAACAGTTTTGATTTTTTCAACGCTGTGTCCAAAAGTACATAGGCAACACTGCCAAAAAACTTTATTTGAATTGTAATGGTAGTCTAAAAAAAATGTTAAATCGAATAGATGGTCAGACAAAAATATTTTTAATTTTAAATTGATAATCACTGTTATAATTTGTCAATTAAGTTCCTAAAGCCATTAAAATAATGTCAATTGAAATAATAATATTAATAGTATGGCCTAATTATTTTCAACTCTGTTCACACTGAGTCTATGGTCTCTAGTGATACAAGCCTAAAAAAATTTTTTTCCAAGCGACCGTCAACATGTTGTGCTTTAATGCGATATTTAAATTTCGAATCTATGTATGTACTTAAGTTTTTTTATAAGCATTTAATTTAAGAACAGTTTGATTCTCAAAAGAAATTAAATGTAAAATAAACGTTATAATATACGGCGCAATATTTGCCGTTTTGTTGAAAACATCAGTTTATATGATAATAAATGTACATTAATAATAATAATAATACGTTAGTATTTAAGATAATGAATGTGATATCGACGATTTTGGAAAGATATGATTTTTAACTCAAATAACAATGATCATTCGAATCTCACTCAACATTTAAATTCTTTAAAAATATACGTATTTAAATATATATATTGTTTTTCGAGCAATTAAAATCTTCGGAACGGCCTATATTCCGGTTTCAATATGTAAGATAACAATGTATGCAAAATCTCATTCGAATTTATCGAAGAAAAAAAATCATTTTATTTGAGGCATACAGAGTCGGCATCGTTCTTTTTTTTAGATTTCTGCATTTACTTTAATCTATAAAAAATATTTTAAAATATCCCAATACAGTGTGACCGACAGTACAGGCTTAAGACATTTCAGTGTTACCAATTACCATGTGGTTGGTACAATGCTACCATAATTAAGATTTCAAAACCTTCAATTTAATCTGGCAATTTAACTGAAAAATATAAAAATGGTTCTATTGTAATAACGATATGCTGTACTGAATTCTATGAAAGCGAAAATTAGTAAGTCTTATAACTTGAATCATTTTCATTCATTACCCATAATTCTCGGATAAAAATTTTGATTGACGACTGGCAACAAAAATTTGTGTTTTAAGCTTTTATAAGATAGATACTGGACGAAACAGAACTGTGTCTGAAGACGAAATGATAAATACGAATTACCAATAAGAACTCATTTAAAATTTTGCACGTTTCCCATTTACGAATTATATGAAGAAATTTACTTTATCATTTACGTAATCAGCGTCTTCGCTCATCCCGAGACATGGGTAGCCTTCAAACTGTAAGACCCTTTCGCGTGTAAAACGAAATCAAAAAACCCCATAAAAGAATATTTTCCATCACAATTATTTGAGCAAAAGCAAAAAAGCAAAAGAGTATTTTTTTTCGTTTCACTTGTCTAATCGACAGTACTCGTAAAAAAAGCTTTAAAAGTTATTGACGTAAACGAAACATCCATCGAGCTGTCGATTCGGTAAAAATATTTCCAATTTTAGAAATTCACAACTGATCTTACAATTCTAATTGAAAACATTCTATCGTTAGCATTTAAATCATATTGTATCTTCTAATGCTATTGCTATCCATTATGTACCTAAAGTATAATAATTAAATATAAGTAACTAGCCAGGTGATAGATAGCTTAGACCTTGAAGTACTTAAAGGGAAGTGATATGCGAAAAGGTGTTTTTTTTTGTCAAAAATGTTTCTTAAAAAAATAAATATTTGTTTTTTATTATTACTAGTTTGTTTCATTCTAAACCCTTGCTCAAACTGGACAGTCCCGAAACGCGGGTGAATTTTAATGTTCATTCTGTGACCAATGATGGTGGATCTCCTAACGTTACTAATGTATTGTATACACATGCCACCCATTTTTTTTTATTGCTTAGATGTGTGTGTACGAGCTCACAGCCCACCTGATGTTAAGTGGTTACTGGAGCCCATAGACATCTACAACGTAAATGCGCCACCCACCTTTATAAATGTATATGCTCTGGAACAATTGAGGACGCTAATAATAAGTTTAATCAAGAGCTTCATCATCATCATTAGCCTATAGCAGTCCTATAGTTTATTAACTATTAATTCACGAATAAATAAATAAAATTTGCTTTTACATTATTTTAATGAAAACCAAAGCCTGAAGATAGCGCTGTACATAGTAAATTTAATTGATCTTATAAAAAAAAAACAAAAAAATAATTCACTAAACAATTCTCGTCAAATCGAACATTACAAAAGACTTAGCCAATCCTGAGATCGCACTGAAGGGATTTTGAAAATGAATATCGGTCTATTGGTCAGCTGCACTGAAGCCCTGAGTCCGGCTGCTAGTTGTCTTGGAACGCCCATCAGGGGCGGACTCTCGCGCCAAGCTGTCCGTCTCATGTACCAGTTTGGTGCCGGCTGGCAAGCCAAGGTTACATCGAGCCAGTTGTTCAACTCCGTATTCACATTAAATCTGCAAAAACNGAAGATCCGGCGAGAAACTCAGTGGGCTGTGTCTGGGAGTTAATTTACTCGTCGAGCCCTTCGTCGCAAGCGACGGGTTCGACGAGAACGGTGACCGGTGCTTGAAGTACCTAGAAGCACCGTTAGTGGATCGGGAGGATCCGAGATGACGTGTTTGGGGCGACGTCGACTGCTTTCCATTCTGTCCGCAGGATCGGGAATGTAGTTACCGGCGGCCACGATGAGAGGGTTCTTGTGTCGTGCCGCTTTATCGAAGTGGTGAAGCGGTAATAATGCGTTTCGGTTTGAAGGGTGGGGCAGCCGTTGTAACTACACTGAGACCTTAGAACTTATATTTCAAGGTGGGTGGCGCATTTACGTTGTACATGTCTATGGGCTCCAGTAACCACTTAACACCAGGTGGGCTGTGAGTTCGTCCACACATCTAAGCAATAAAAAATAAAAACCTATTTGCTACAAAGCCAAGAGTAAATCCCTGACTATCAAAACTTACTTTTCTGCTTCTCTTTCTCTTTCCTTATCTCGGCACCTCTTCGGTCTCCTCGTAGGGGACGTGGCTCTGAACCGATAATACTTAGGCATTTTCAAATAAAATTTAATGAAAAAAATAAGAAAATTGAAAAATTGGTACCTACCCTAAATGTCATTACTGACACTGCAAATAAATATACGAAAACAATCAAAGAGTATGTAATGTTATAAATTAGTGTATAATCTATGGAATGTAAGATCGGCGTAGCAAAACAAAAAAGTATAAACACTATTGTATTTTCAGCAGTTTTCACAAGTAGCAGGCCTAATAAAAACTACTAGAGGTCCCGCAGTAGTCGAAATTCGACTATAATTAATTGGAATTGTAAGTTTGTACACTATTACGATTGTATTTTATACTTCTATAATCATAAATTTCACCAAGGCGAAATTTACTATAAAAAATATTAACAAAGACAAACAATAATTAATCTATTCTCAATTTGACCACAGACGACAAAAGTTTGACAATAAATAGTATGCATGCGTGTGTGCGTCAAATACATGGTATGTAGTGTGTGTAATGTTTTCTTTATTGATTTAATGTATCTTTTATGCATTATTTAAAAAAAATATTAGGATTGTGCACTTCTTCTCTATATTCTCTATAAGTGTGGAAATTTTCATATTCCTCCGTCCGCGCAATTTTCGTAAAAAGGGATAGGTACATAGTTTTTGCTTCACGTATTAATATATAGATATACTTAGCAATTCCGTGAGCACGAAAACTCCAAAACTTTCGAAACGTCGGGAATATTATAATATAATGACTATAATAAACGCGGGAATAAACAGTAAAAATAGTAACAATCGAGAAAATTATTTAAAAAAATTTTCAACAGTTACAAAAGAAACAGCAACAAATAACAAATAAAATTCGAAATGGGGTAACTAACTGTCCGCAATAATTTCCATTGTACTTTTTTAATTCGTGTTCCAAAGCTTCTTTCGTCGAATTTTATTTGTGATTTTGACATAATTGAGGTATGTATAGTATAAAACCTACAATCAAATAAATCTTCTAACACGGAGGTACGTTCAACCAACGATTTAGGTTAGTCTGCGCACCATTATTGCTATAAATATTAAGTGTATTGTCTATGGTTACAAATTGTACCAAAAAAATGTCTATGGTTATAGCTCGCACACGTCCATAGGTCTAAAATTTAACATTAATTTATTTGTATTTATAGAATACGTATCTCATATGTTTTGATTAAGGCCATTTTCCGATTCATTCTAAGCTTTGGAAGGGAGTACACGGGCGTCGCTACCAACAAATAAGTATAGGAAAAACAATCACCATGACACGTCTTTTATATGTACGGTACTTGATCCCGTTTTTGTGATCACAAATTATAACACACATAATATCTTAGCGGCCCACAACCAACGAAAACTTTGATCAACAAAAAATTACCATCCAAAGAGAAGAGTTGTTGTCATATATATTTTCTATAGCTTTCACATACGTCAGTTATGTATAAATTAAGGTAGTTGTTTTATAACTTATTAACAGGGTACCACAATAATATTATGAATGCCGCCCTTACGGATGATCTTCATGTTTCTTTTTGCCGTCGTCGCCGTCAATATTTCGAATTATATATTTTACTATCGCATTTATACGCCAATGAATAGAAACTGTTTTTATGTTAACCGGAACATCAGGTACGTGAACGATCTAAGAAAGGTGTTCTTGGCGGTAAGAAGCAGACTTAATGCAATGGTAGGCAGCGGCTTGGCTCTGTCCCATGCATTGCTAAAGTCCATGGGCGGCTACAACCACTCACCATCAGGTGGGCCGTATACTCGTCTGCCTACACGGGCAATAAAAACATATATATCGATATACACGAACAGCGATGACAACTTTCATTACCTACGCAGGCCCATAACCTGAACGGTTAAGAGAATCATATGTATCAGTCGAAGGATGTTGAATAGAAGTAGTTTTATGTATATTGTGTAAGTGTAGTGTGTAAAGTGACTTAAAATTGTAATCACATCTTAAAACTTCCATGGGAAAAACAAAATTGAAATTGACCGTTTTCTGAGTTGAGAAAAGCGCCTAAGCTTACTTAACCGTAGCAGTAGCTTTAAAGCATTTATAACTCACTACTTAGCAGCAAATGTCTTAAATGCGGCAATATGTACAAACGATGGCTACCACTTTTGTCTAAGCCAAACATGTGCGCGTCTTACCTACTTGAGAAAAATTTGTGAGCTTGTCAAACCATTTATTTACTACAGCAATAAATAAATAAATTGCTTCTCCAATTTAACATTGGACCGTTGTATATTTATTCATATAAAATGTGCAGTTAGATATGTACTTTCTTTACTATTCAAAACGGTTAGGTAACAAGGCGATAAGAAATGGTTTTAATGGTGATAGGGCCATTGTAGGCTGGATAAGTAACTCCATCCTGGCTATTTCTTCTGCTATGCAGTCACACGTTTCAGTTTGAAGGGTCGGGATCGCATTTAAATGAGATTTCAGCTTTATATCCCAAAGCGGATTGGAATTCACGTCAAAATTCAATACGTACAATATAACATTATTTACTGGTACCAGCCAGTTGTTCAACTCCGTATTCACACGTCTGCAAAAACACAAGTTTTTACTGGTGATAGGACGTCTTGTGTGGACCGCCCGGGTAGATACCACCGCGTTGCCTATTTCTGCCGTGAAGCAGTAATGCGTTTCGGTTTGAAGGGTGGGGCAGCCGTTGTACTGTAAAAACGGAGACCTAAGAAACTCATACCTCAAGGTGGGAGGCGGCATTTACTTTGTAAATTGTCTATCAGATGTGGGCTCCGGTAACCACTTAAAACTTAATATTTAAAAAAAAAAAACATAATTTCGGTTCATTACGGTTTTTATGTACGTAGAAATAATAGGTTTACTTCTCATAGATGTTAGATATTGCCGTTTAAGTTTTACGACTGTTTTTCGTGTTTCATTAATCATTGCACTCTTTTGTTTTATTTACAGTTCACAAAATTCTATCAACACGTCGACATATTTATCATTCATTAATAATAAAGACATTACAAGTGACAATGGTGTTTCCGAAACGGAATACGCTGATCTAATGGTCTCACTTAAGGGCCTTTACACATTTTACCCGTTAGAAGTGAAGAAACAAGGATTGCCTCGATGCCCTGAAAAGCCACCGAACTTGGGTACCTAATGATTTTAATGCCTAAATATTATCGTTTACTTATTTCGTAGAAATAAACTGTGAATATTTTTCAGTGCAGTTATTTCGACACAAAATTACACTCAGTGCTCTATTTATAATATTGCTTCACACAATGTCGGTATATTTGTCTTTTCCAACCCATGCTTTGACATTTTCAAGCTCTTGTTTAGTAGACACTAATACGCGACTCCCTAAGCTGCAATAAAAATATTAGTTTATCGTCCTAAAACGTCGCCATAAAATTGACGTGGCCTAACAGATAAGAAGCTCGGTGTACTCGTATCGAACGATGCGAATGTATCGATGTTCAAATCCCGCGGGCAGGTACAAATTTTTTTTGGAATGAAATAACTAATGTTAACTCATGTTGAATTACTTCCACGGTGAATAGCATCGTATAATAAAAATCAAAGCTAAAAAAATATAATTTGCAGATAAAGTTTAGTCTCCAGGTGCATTTTGGCATTCAGATTGCGACTTTATGGGCTCTTTAACACCAGGTGGGTAGTGCGCTCGATCATCGATCTATGCAATAAAAATTAAATTCGCGAAAAACAAAAAAGCATAGTGACTCACCTAGGATGCGTTTTAGTTTTCACGAGAAACTAAATCTATATATTATATATAAAAATGAATTGCCGTTCGTTAGTCTCGCTAAAACTCGAGAACGGCTGGACCGATTTGGCTAATTTTGGTCTTGAATTATTTGTGGAAGTCCAGAGAAGGTTCAAAAGGTAGATAAATATGAAAATGCTCGGAATTAAATAAAGTTTAGGTCTTTTATTTATCGATTGAGGCACTACGAAGTCGGCCGGGTCAGCTAGTAACAAATAAAATAAAATTGGATACGCAAAGTACCTAATTATAATTGTGCTCACTTGGATATTAATCAATTCGTCTTCATGGCTGCATTATATTCTAAAAGCAATCGACGAAAAGAATAACGAAAATAATTCAAACTTAAGAGTCTCGGAGTATATTTCACTATAGGGCTCTAGACTAGATTTCACTATAGGACCAGTTGTGGAAGACACAGTGATGAAGTCTATAAAGGCGTTCGATAAACTGTATTCGGAAGTTCAAATCGGCGGCGCTTATTGTCCAACGAAATGTGTAGCACGACAACGAGTCGCCATCATTGTGCCGTTTAGGTGAGTGAAATGGCTAATAAAAAACAACATTTTTCATATATCAGGTCTGCAATGAATAGAGACAAAAAACGGTTTTCAACGATAAATTATTATTGTCGTGAGTTACCGATCTGTGTGCTTAGTGCGAGTTTCTTAACGTTCTCGACAAGGGCGGATCCAGCTTTGGTGCCAGGAGGGGGTCACATAGTCATGGTCAAGTCAAGAACTTATAATTTAATTTTGATAACAATAGATACAAGTAAAAAGTAGGTATTTTATTAATGTACGTAAATACTGTACTTAAAAATATTTATTCTTTATTGTACACTTGAAAAACTTAACACATAATAACTTGTACATATACACGTACATATTGTCATCTTCTCTTGAAGAATCCAGAGAAGCACTATCACGCCCGGAATGAGGCAGATTATTTAATTCCATAACCGTGGTCCTAAAATCATTATGTTCAATATGTGGTCCACCTAGGTCCTGGAACCAGCTCAGGGGGGGGGGGTCATGACCCCATGACCCCCCTCCCCCCTGGATCCGCCCTTGGTTCTCGATAGCGTAAAAGTAACCTGAAATTTGTATGCAGTTGGAACAGTGCCCCTAGCGGCAAACATAGCAGTCAAACGTTCCAACTCCACACAAATTTGACTTAACTTTTACGCTATCGAGAACGTTAAAAAAGTCGCACTAAACACACTAA